TATGTATATATATATACATACAGAATTTCAGAAAGCTTTTTGTGGGGGAACGTGTTTAATGCTGATTGATTTAATTTTTGCTTTTTTTTGATATATATACACACACGTACCATTTTATATTTTTTTAATCACCAAAGAGTTTTTGAGGCTTCGAGATTTCACTAATACAAAGGTCAGTGGGCAACAGTACACATTAAAATAATAATAATAATAATAAGAAAGATGATCTTCATCTGGAAAAGTGACATATGACACATGTATACAAGTTGCTTCTCGATCGGGTCTGTTCAACTGTTGCATGTCTCAAGCAGCTAGAGAATGAAGCAGGTATTCATGCTATTTAATATGAAGATGTACCGATCAAATCACTAGATGTAGCACCTGCGGATTTCTTTGTGATCGAACAGTTGAAATGGCTACTAGGAAACTGTCATCCTCGTACACTAGATGCCTTATGTAAAGCCTGCAGGAAGTATGGCCATCAGATAGGGCATAGCCTGTCATGGTGACATGAACCGTAACATCCTGTTAGACGTGTTGACATAATATACATACAGTAACATGAGACACTAAAAACTAAAGTCTGTAGTGATCTGTTACATCTTTCACTATTCTGTTAGTGTTAACTTGTGTACTATCTCCCATTCACAGATTTGACACTTCTAGGTTTGAGTAAATCTTTGTTAGAAGAAGAGTAAAATTGCTTCATATAATGAAGTGTGTGTACATGTTTAATTCTGAATATAAGTAGAAAAACAGTATATCAAGGCACATGTTATTTCCACATTAAAGGTGCAGGCATTTTTTTTTAAGAATAAGTAAAGGCCATTGACTTTTCATCTAAAATGAGTCACATTGTGGATGGATTTTGCTGGAAAATCTTCTGACTTTTACCTGTATGCAAAAATGCATCTCTTTTGAACTTGTTTATTAAAATAACTGCTGTGCCAGTGATGTACAGAAATATTGGTCTGCAGGAGAGCAGTGACTGAAGTATAGAGTGGGTGAAATGTTATGAAATGCATACACGTAAGTGATTGTGTCAAATGCAAGAAGATGTATGTGTACATGAAAGAAGTTTGTTGGCATGTAATGAAACGAAGACAATATACCATTTACATTTATTGGTAACTTAAAGGTGAGTTCATGATGAACAGCAAGAGTAAGCTGCTACCAAACTTTAGACTGCTAATTAATCTTGGATGTTTGCTGGAAAATCAAATTTCTGATTCTTTTGTTGTAATTTTTCCTGATCTGCTTTTGTTGTATTTAATGTTGTATTCTATAAAATTGAAGGCGTGTATATACAGCAAGCTAGAAAATGGGACATCATCAAATGCTTCATGAAGATAGTGGATATTAAAGGGTAGTTTTTTCTAAGCAAGCAACTCCAAGCTGTATTTTCCTCCATAAGTCATGGTGTTGGACAGTCTCACACTATGGTAGTGTACAAACTAGAATCTCATTAACCAAGTTTTCCCTATCAAAACTCTTATGTGGCTGAAATGAGCATCATGTACCATCAGCCTTTCCTTTCTGGGTTGAATAGATCTTGTATAGCTTCAAACTGCACTTCTCAGATAATCATTTTGTTACTTTTGATTATTTGTGTTTGAGCAGTATATGCAGTTCTAAGCAAGTCTAAGTTTATCTTGCATTAAATTACTTATCACTTAATATATAGTTCTAGGAGATTTGTTACCAGAATTAGTTATCCAGACACTTCACAGACTTGTCTGTATTTATGTAGGTTAACATATACACGTAGACTGAACTGTTAATTATGTATTTCATAAATAAATGCAGTGTATACCAGCTTATGAATAATGCTGCCTTTCTAAAGGAAATAGGTCATAGATCTCTTGGAAAATTGAACTGTAAACTGATTACTAAATTTTTTTGTACTTTAAAATTAGGATATTAATTTTTTGTCTCTCCTTCACTTCTTTTAGGGCCTCAGTAGTTCATTTGGTTTGGTTTGTTCTATAAAATGAAACTAAAATAATACATTACTTCTTAGCTATTCTTTAAGGTATTTCTAGCCCATTTGTTTCGTTTTTTCACCCCTTTTTTTTTTGAAAAAGATATTTGCTACTTTAAAATGTTTACTTTTAGTTTCTGCAACACATTTTGTCAAAACACCCCA